ATATATATATATATATATATATATATATATATATATATTACGAAAAATGGCCTAAAATATCTTTAAAGTATTGGAAATGGTACAAAATTACTCTTCATCCACCTATTAGCTCCAAAATTTCCTTTCCACCCACTTATTGGGTCCAAAATATCCTTGTCATCCACCTTTTGGTTCAAAATTGACGACTTATTTAACAGTTTATATTTAAACTATTTAAATATTTTTTTAAATACATGGCGTTCAACTATCTGTTATAATTTAACTTATTAATATAATTTATAATCAATCCACTACCACCCTTTACTAATTAAACCCCTCCAAATTAATAAATATGTCACATTATTAATGCAACAATAGAAAAGTTACTGCCAATTGAGTGTTTTTAAGAATTTGAGGCGAAAATATCTACAGAAGTAATTATCATACATTCAAGTGTCTAAATAAAAATTACCGATAAACTTAAAAGTCTGACTATGTTTATCTTAATTATTCTTCCGTATCAATTATGTGATGTTACTTCATAGGTAAAAATTTTTCAAAATAATAGATTAAAGGTTTTAAAACAAATCATAAATATTTATAAAATTATATTTAAAAAAAGTGCATGAATTAATTCGGGATGTATTACTTCTTTACCTTTAATCATAAATTTCTAATTCAATCTTGAAAGAGAATACTATAGAAAGTATCCTCCTAAATAAGCATCTCAACTTAAATTTAATTGGGGCTTCAATTCGAATTCGAATAATTTTGGATGTCATTTTCAGGAATCTATAATTTCATCGTGTTGTAGTAGAGTTTATGACGATTTTGATATTATAATTGGATTATTATTTGGGTGCGGTTTAGTTAGTAATGAGTGGATAATGAGTTGGTTTATAGATTATATTAATAAATTAAATTATAACCAATAGTAGAACGCCAAGTATTTTAAAAAATATTTAAAGAGTCTAATTTTAAAACAATTAAAGAAGTGGTCAATTTTGAACCCAAAGGTGGATAACAAGGGTATTTTGGAGTCAATAGGTGGATGAAAAGGATATTTTGGAACCAATAGGTGGATGAAGGGTAATTTTATATTATTTTCAATACTTTAAGGATATTTTAAGCATTTTTCCGTGTATACTTAAAGGCTAAGTATTTGACTAACTGTTTGTTTGATGATACTATTATAAATCAATTTGTCACAATACTTTATTATGATAATATTAATAGATATTGTATTAATATTATTATTCTTAAAATTGTATCTCTTTATAGTTATGAAATTGCTTTGATTAAAAAGTAAGTTGATAATATCACAAGACAAATGAAAGAGTTAGCTAGAGTCTTTCATTGTACTTACCGGAAAGAGGATAACAGCAAAAGTAAGATGCATATTTCATTTTATACAATAAATGTTTTTCCCATTAAATTGTGCCAGAAAATATAAATTTACATCATTTCTCTAATTTATTTTCACCTACAATAAACTAATTAAATTATGATGGTAAAATTATTCTATGATTGCATATATATATGAAAATGATAGAAAATATTCTGAATTGGAAAAGAGAATACTATAACTATATAGAGGCTTAGAGAAAATAAAATAAATGGCAAACTGATGTGTCACAGTTGGAACGTAATTAATTAAATGTATTTATGAATTCACACTTCTATTTAGTTAGTTATTATGAAAATGATAGATTTGTTTTTTTAAAAGAAAAATTACTAATAATTGGACTGAAAAGTTGGGCACATATATTAATTATTTTTTTTTTGTAGGGGCTAGTCAATAGCATGACAAAAAGATCGAACCTTTTCTTTATACAATTTTGATTTGAACGAACTACTAATTTTGTTTTTACTTGTCGGCAAATAAATGATTTTGACAATGATTTGATATTATAATCAGTTGATTACCCTTCAATACTTCCTCTATATTGGAAAATAAAATAATTTCAACTTTTTTATTTTTAGAAAAAAGGTCTCAACATAAGTCATTAACAATCAAAGATGTATTTTAGGTAAATAAATCTAAACAAAACAAATATTTGTCATTAGTAAATAACAGGATAAGGCATAAGACTCCTCTTAAATAATGTAAATTATCAGTTACATATATATTTAAAATTATGTGAGAATTTTATTACCTTTTTAAACTTAAATTTTGTAATATTTATATTTTAAATCATATGATGGTTGAATTTAATGGTACAAGATGATACTCATTTTTGCATTTGAATAGTTAACTTAACTTCACTCTTGCACTAATTTTGATATCTATGAAAGTGCGTCACTCATTTTGATATCTATAAAATTATTTTGATACTTATTTTACATAGATTTTCTTCGTTTATGAAGTTGTCATACTTTTAAAGTTGATATTATTACGAATTTTCTTCATTTGTTTGATGTATAAAACATACTAGTTGTTGTTCTTGTTCATGTCATTGGATCAAAAATGGACCAAAATTAAATCAGTCTAACTATCACTTAATGAAACTTACCTTTAAGTTTTGATAGTTTTTTTTAATCACACAAAACTCCAAATGCAGACCTTCACTTCACTCATGTCGCATCTATATGATTCGTAACATCATATCGTTGATCTCCAGAGTTTTTTGAGTTTATATCGTTAATCTCCAGAGTTTTTTGGATCAAAAACTCAAGATACATAAATTTTTCTCTTTAGAGTCTGGAAATAACGTGTGTATCAAATCTCACTTTCACGCCTGAATCATGCGTTTGCACCCAGGAATTTACACTCTAAATACTGTGTGTCCCTACCACCTTCAAATATTGTCATTAATACTAAATCATTTTTAGTTTCTAAAAAAAAGGTTAATTTAATGAATCACTTTTGATTTATAGTTTCTAAAAAAAATGTCAATTTAATGAACCACTTTCGGAGCCAATTCTATATAAACAATAACATATTTGAAGCTTCATTATTTACGTGTAAATTTGCTTGCTTGGCCAAATATAATGGAGTTTCACCCAAGTATTTAAAAAATTGCCCTAAAATTAAACACAACTTCAAATAAACTGTGCATCCAAAAAATAAAATTTTATTATTTAGCTTAAATAATTATTTGGATAAATATAAAATATCTAAGAATCTCACCCAAACCAGATACATAATTGAAACAAATAGTTACTATATCTAAATAAAAAAGAAAACTCACCCGCTGAATATATGGATAACAATAGGGAGGGACGGATGCAGGGAGGGTGGTGGGGGCTTAAGGTTGTGCGGGGCAGATAATTCTTAAAAAGCTAATGCCGATTATATATTTATGCAATTTTATACGGGTTCAAGCACATTTTACATTTTATAAGAGTGATAGAATATTATATATTAAGATAGTTTCTTTAAAGTTACTAAATAATTTAAGATAGTAAATAAAAATGATTCAATCAGAATCAATACAATTTCTTATATGCTTTTCAATTGACCTATAAAATATAAATTTTAAGTTGTTATCTATTAAAATTGTATAACTTGATGAAAAATAAATTTATTTTCATGAATTTTATTTTTAGTATCAAACTTTACTAGAAAATAAAAATTAAAAAAATTATGCGGAACAAATCTATGCGAGACGAGATAAGACAAGTTGACAATAAAAAAAATTGTTATACGAAGCGCGGCAGATTAAACTTTTTACAGATTAAGATCAACCCGCCCATCAACGCCCCATTGCCATCGTTAAATTCCATTGTTTCAACTAAAACGAACTAAAAATAATAAATCTCTAGCCAAGCTTTTTATTTTATTTTATAAATTTTGAATCAGTTTCACATTGCTGCTAAAAATTACTTATTTTAAAAAAATAACATTTTATATTTGCTAATTCATTTGAAAAGTATTTTTTATAAGCAAATTGTGTTTGATCAATTTTTCTAAAAGTGTTTCTAAAAGTAGAAACAAATGACAAATATTAATGTATTTTTAATACTAAGATTAGTTTATAGAAAAAACTATTTTAAATATCAATTATAAAATACATTTAAAAGCAGTTTACAAGTTTATCAAACATTCAAATTTTTAGAAATTTTTTTTCTCAAAATAAATATTTTTAACCTTTTAACAACAATGTCAAACTAACTCTCTATTGTAAAAGAGAAAAATATTTATGATTAGAATAAATTTCCATTGCATAACTTTTTATTTGATTAAAAACAAAAATAAAAATGCACAGTTGCATAAAATAACCACAACATTTAAAGAACTGCTGAGTCTGACTCTCTCGTAATTATTTAGATGGTTAAAGGTAAGATCAATCCTTTTTAACAATATAAAGATAATATTGAACAGATCTAATTCATGAGTTCACTTTGTCATTTTTTTTTTCCACACATCTTCAGAGCGAAGATACACTACATCTGGTTTACTCGCGAATATAATTAAATATTATAAAATAACTATCTTTTT